TAGAAACCACACTTGACTCTTCAAAAAATTTTCTTTACTGATTTTTCTATTTGATGAGACACCATTTTCATATTTTCCTTTAGTTCTTTACACTAGTTCCTTTAACTATGAATATATTTAAGATAATGAATGGGTTTAAAGTCTTAGTCTAGAAATTCCAGTATCTTGGTTACCTGGTGAGTTGTTTCTTCTATTGGTTGCATTGTTCTGTGCATAATAAAACTCCCAGTAGGCAGTGGGGGGAAAACTCCCAATAAAAATGTGTTTGAGTTATACTTTCTTATTTCTTCGTATGCCTCATGATTTTTGGTTGAGATTAGAACTTTTGAATATGATGATGTCATGATTCCAGATACTAGCTTCTCTTCTCTGTCCAAGGTATGTTGTAATTGCTGCTTACTGTGGTAGTTATTGTTTGTTTAGTGACTTCTCTGAATTAATTCTGTAAAACCTATGTTTATTGTGTCATCTCTGAACTCTGCTTGCTTAGCTTAGGATCATGAATGCTTGGGCAGAGATTTCTTCAAGTATCTCTAACCAATAAAACTCCCAACCTTTGCTGAATGGGTCTGTGTGTTGTTTCACACTCAACAAGCTCCAAACAATTTACAGCTTCCCTTGACCTTAACTTCTTGCCTCTGTGGTGGTGCAAAGATGGTTCAAGGTGAAAGCTTAAGACCTTCGTAGGTCATTCTTGAGCACATGCACAGCCCCAAGGGTCTACCCAGTGCTATACATGCATGAGGAATTTTATAGCCCCAGACTATAAAACATGTCATAGCTTTCACGACCCCCGTGGACTTCTCATTTCCAGCTTTCATTTAAAGTTGTTTTTGGTCAGCATGTTGTTAGCCTCAGCAGTTCTCTGCCTCAGAGAATTATAAGGTTCAGCAATTTTCTCTGATTGTGTTTAAAAATAATCAACCTGGGAAAACACTTCACAAATTGTACAAGCTGTCAATAAAGACAAGTTTGTTTAGTGGGATTTTCTAGGCAGCTACCAGGTGACCAAACAATGACCATTATTTGGGAACTGGATTTTCGAACAATTCTGTTCCTTCTCTTCTTTCCTTAACTCCCAAACCCAGGCTGCTAAGCTGCTTATTTTCACCATGGCTATGGAGCTGTTGAATTTTTAGAGAAAATTGAAATGCTTCAATACTTGCTATCCTTCCCAAAATTTATCTGGAAAAAATACTGTCTGGAAATTATTGTACGCTTTAAATTCTAGAATTCTGAAAAATTGATTGCCCAAATTTTCAGTTTTTTATATTGCTTTTATGAAAGAGGAGATTTTTTTCAGGGTCTTGACTCTATTGTCCCTGACTCCATTGTCCCCCCTGATGTCATTCCTATAAGCTTTTTAAGAGTGGGTTAGATGGGCCCTCTCTGGTGGCGCAGCGGGTTAAAGCACAGCACAAAGAAGCTCCATCCCTGCCTGCCCCGGAGGAGATCCACCTGGCGAGGCAGTCCTCTCCTGACCCGCCCGCTGCTCCCTTCAGCAGTGTACTTCTTCAATCTGCCTGTTTTGCTCCCCACTCTGTCTCTGGTGAATCCTCTCACCCTCCGCATCTCTGGCCTGTACCCCAGTTCTGTACGAATAAATAAATAAATCTTTTTTTAAAAAAAAAAGAGTGGGTTAGAGATTCCATTTTCAGTTACATCTATTATGAATCTCTTTGTATTTAAGATTCCTCAGAGACAAAATTAAGTGTGTTACTTTAGAAGATTGAAAATAGAAGATCAAAATAGTTAAACTGCTAAAGATTTATTTTTAATTATTTGTGCATACAATTGCTGGGGTGTAGGCCAGTGATGCAGGGCAGGTGTTGCAGAGGTGAAAAGAGGACTCACCAGACAGAATAGGGAGCAGTGGAAGAAAGAGGAGAGGTCTGTGATATCATGTGGGTCAACTCCCAGGCAGGGGATAGAACTTGTGCTGCAGTGACTGCCCAGAGCTTCATAGTACTGAGACTTAATCCTTTGTGCCACGCTAAATTTTGAATATCTTATTTTTAAACATTTATTTCTATTTTTTGAAAGCCTATCCACACCTAGTCTTTTTTTTCCTTTTTGCCTATATTGTCAGTATTGAAAAGTTAATTTTTCTTGCTTGTATCCAATATATCAAGTGTTTAGTTAAAATTCTAATACACTGAAATGATAATCACTTCAATACTGACTATGAAATAACTTAAGCACTTTATGATTACATCAAAATCCCATCTAAGGAGTTTATTATTAAACCATTGTCTATTTTGTGCAATAATTTTAAGAAATCAAACTGGGGATCTCCCTGGCTGTACAAGGGGTTAAAGCACAGCCTTATGAAGCTATCCACAGTCACTGCAGCATGGGTTCAATCCCCAGCCTGGGAGGGCACCCATACGGCACAGCAGACCTTTCATGTCTCACCTGCTGCTCCCCTCAGCAATATATTTCAGTAGATCTTCCTGTTCTGTTCCCCACTCTCTCTGGTGAATTCTCACACCCTGTACCTCTTGCCTGTTCCCCAGTTCTTGTATTCATAAAAAATAAATCTTAAAAAAAAAAAGAAATTAAACTCTTCAACCCTTTAAAATTTGTTGGATTAAGTTAAAAATTAAGGAGCTGGGTTCCTCCCTGGTAGCACAGTGGGTTAAAGCACAGCACTAAGAAGCTAAAGCCACTTCATCATGAGTTTGATCACCACCCCGGAGGTGATCCACAGGGCACAGCAGACCTCTCCTGACCCGTCCACTGCTCCCTGCAACATTGTGCTTAATTAACCTGTCTGTTCTGCTCCCTAGTCTGTCTCTGGTGAATCCTCTCACCACCCCTGCAACTCTGGCCTGTACCCCAGTCCTGTATGCATAAATAAATAAATCTTTTAAAAAAAAATTAAGGAGCTGAATTTTAGTAGGTGGTTATAGTATCAGCAAATAACAAAAATTTAGAAAGAACAGCACTAATCTAGTGAAGCCTGTGGGCCAGAAGACTTGCAACACCTGGAGCTTGTCAAGGATGCAGATTGCAGACTTCATGCCAAACTTACTGAAGCAAAATCTGCATTTTAGCAAGACCTCCAAGTGCTAGGGATATATATTAAAACTTTAGAAATTCTGGCCCAGGTAATTAGTATAAAGCATTCAAGTAAGTTAAGAGAATAAAAGACATGACTATCAACAATAAAACATAATGTTGAACATTTATAGTAAAGAAAATGATAAACTATAGAAAAACAAGTCATTTTTTAAAAGACTCAGTATCAAACTCTGTTTTTATATTATCAAATATAATATGTAAATATTTCATGACAGAATAAGCGCTTAAAGGATGAGCAGATTTGGCACATACAGAACCTATTAAAGGAACTCAGCGAAGAGAAGTCAGCAGCATTACCTGTTGTAACCAGAGAGGAAGTTGAAGAAGCAATGAAGGAAAAATGGAAGTTTGAGAGAGACAAGGAACAAAACTTGAAAGGTGATATAAGAACTTATATCACGATGTATTGAATTAATTCTTGAATATGTTAATGGTTTGTCTCTATCATGTTGGGCATTCTGTTCGTGTATTTCAGATGATGCCATTGCCATCACAACCACAAGTACACTTAGGTCAATGGACAGGAGAGGATATGACAAAGTGGGCAGACACACTGCAGCCACGTGAGGGGGAGGAGGACGGTGACCAAAAGCCAAGACAGAGAACATCATCCGACTCAACACCAGACCGCACTCTGTTCTGTACCACTCCAAACTTTCCTTTTGGGAAATTTACTTGTTTGGTGCCTCCATTGGCTTCAGCTTCAGTTCAAATTTATGAGTGATGTTTCCTCCCTAATATCTTCAACAGAGCTACCCACTCCTGTTACCTCCAGTTAGATGGGGAAAGAGGGATTAGAGTTGGAAAAAGGGAAGTCTGGAGGCCAATGTTAGAAATGATGTGAGGTGCAGGAGGACATGTTTTCATGACTGCCATATGCTATTATTTCACACAGTGAAAGTCCAAAGAAATGAACTTGACTCAAACAACTTACTAATAAAAGTGGTTGCCAAAGACTGTAGAAGGATATAAGTTGAAATTACTTTGCCCATAAATGATCATAAAAATGACAATTATACTAATAAAGAATCTATGTGGCATAATAAATTGGACAAATATAAGAAGATTATCAAGTTATCACAGGAGTAATTCCAACTTATTCCTAGCTTATATGTTCAATTGTTATTGCTCTTAGTTACAGTCCAAAACCACAAATCAACTTCATAATTGGAAGTTTAATTTTAATTAAATTTTGAGTCATTATGTATAAGTTCAAATAGTTTAGATTTCCCTAAAGTATAGATCTGAAGTATTGTTCATTGGTAACAGAATTTTAATATTAACTTCAGTTTCATAAAATCAAATTGCAAGTTGCAAGGACAACAATGACATGGGGTCTTGATTTTCTTTCAATAGATATGCGCATGCAGATAATTAATACTGAAAAACTGTTTCTTGAGAAGCTTGGTGAGAAGGAATACTGGGAAGAGTACAAGAATGTGGGGAGTGAACAGCATGCTAAAATCATTACCGCCTTACAAAATGACATCAGTACAGTCAAAGAGAATGCAGAGAAAATGTCAGGTCAGTTGCAATAAGACCAGTTTATATTCAATAAGAAATTTTTAGAGGAAGATATTTGGTGGAAGAAAAGATTGGGTACTTCCTGACCCACAGGCAAAGGTGAAAGTAGAGAAATTATCCCAGGACAACCCATAAAACTGAGAAGAGAAAATAAAGGAGTGAGTGATGTGGAAATGGAGAAATGTTGCAACCCTCTGACCTCAAGAAGGAGGCTTCATTCTTTGGGTGGGTCTGGAGCAATTCCACTAGGGTAAGGGGTCCTGAAAATGGGCAATATCAGAAGGGGAGTTCACCTGTGGCACACTAAGGTAACTTTACCAGGCTAGACATCCAGAATCACTATAGGAATTAAGTGCCCAAGGAAAGGCCAAGCTATGGGCAGAAAAATGGTGGAGAGCAAAGGTGAGGTGGGAAATGGAGAGGGTATGGATTCAGATCACATCAGGTATGATGAAGCTTACTGAGACTAACCTGGGAACCCTGAGACCACCAGTCTGTCACTGAGGTGAGCAGCTTAAAAACAAAACAAAACAAACAAAACACCAGAGAAATAATTCATTCAACTCTACAGTAACGAAACAAACATTGTGATTTAAAATGGGAAAAGATTGTGAATAGACATTTCTTCAAGGAAGGCACACAGCAGGCCAATAACCTCATGAAAAGATATTCACTTAGGTCATTCAATGTTCTATTGTTCTACAACAAAGTATCATAGATTTTGTGGTTTATAAAAAACAAAAATTTATTTCTCATACTTCTAGAGGCTGGGGCTCTTATATTCAAAGAACCAGCCAAGTTGGTGCTGGTTAGAGCCCACTTTCTGGTTCATTGACAGCTTGTCTTCTCACTCTCCTCACATGGCAAAAGTGGGAGAGGGAACTCTCAGGCTCTCATTAATCCTACGCACAAGGTCTCCAGTCTTCTGTCCTAATCACTTCCAGATGCCATTGGTTTGGTGGTTGGGTTTTAACATATGAACCTGGTCATGACAAACACAAATATTCAGGCTATCCCAGCCTACTGTCCAGAGTTTGTCAGGACAAAGAATGAAAGAATGTCCCCTGGGCATGTATTGTAAGAGAAGCTGGTACACTGCACTATGAACATTGCCCCAGGCACAGCTGGGGTGGGGAGTTATAGTGAGCCTGCAGAGACACAGGAGCGTGAGGGCCATGGGAGGATGAGATTGAAAGACAGAGTCAAAAGGAAGAGTTACTAGTCTTCAAAGATAGCACGTTCCCTACATCAGGAAAATGATAGTGAAAAAATAGTGAAATAGAAAAATAGTGAAAAAGTGAAACCTAACTAGTCTTTGAGAAGGTGGTCCCATCAAAACAATAAAAGCAGCCCTATAATGGAAGAATCTGTTTCAATTCCAGCTAGGAACAAAAGAGGAACATTAGTTTGGGATAATCTCAGTCAAACAGAGCTTTCTTGTCCCTGTCTGTGCTATGCATGTGGCCTGAGAGACACAAAGAAGCTCACATCTGAGGAAAGAGCAAGGTCTGAGCTAGGAAAAGAATAACCAATACATTAAATTAGTTTAAAGATTTTTATTATAGATGTTCAAACTAATTACTGATTGAAAGAACTTTAACACAAAGGAACCAAAAGAGTCATAGAATTTTCCATAATTTTATTCAGAGAGAGTTATGAGGGAGAAAAGAGACAAAAGTTGCCCAATCCATCCATCCCCCACACTTTTGTGATACGTGTTGGCTGTCACACCTGTAGTGAGGTATGGCACCACCAAGTGTGGAAACACGAGCTTACCTAATCAGGAGCAACTCCAGGGAAGGCTCCTTCCAGAGTTATCTCTCTTGGTCTCTGACTATTCCTCTCCTGGGACCTTGACTTTGTTCTCTGTGTCTGTTCCCATTCTTGCTTTCCACAGAAACTCTTGCAACCCCTCCAGGTTCTGAGGAAGGCAGTTGTGATCACCTACCTAATCGAAGATAAACACTTTTGTCCATGCCTCCCTGTGGGTCATTAGAAAACTCCAGCATCAAACATTATTTGGTCAGCTGTCCAATGCTGCCTTTTGCCATAGCTTCCCCTGAGCCTTTGAGGATGGGGGAGGAAGGACATAGTGCTGCTTCCCAGAATTTTAGCTAGAAGGAGGTGTCACTGATGTGTGCAGGACAAGACTCTATACAAGGAAAGGTATCCTTAGATGAGGTCCAGGAATAAAGTATGTGGTTAGTAAAAGTCAATTCATTCCATTTCCAGAGTATTGTTTTATCCTTCACCAGGGGACCCCAAATTCCTTGTGCCTCGTTAGCAATTTAAATGAATTGGGTTCAAGTTCATGTACAAAAAGGGAACATTACTTTTGTGAGTAATGTTATGTTCCTTTGACTATGGCCTGTTTAAAGATAACAGAAGTCCAGAGAAGCTATCTACCTTTTTTTTTAGGGTTAAAAGTGTAATTTTGTTTAGATGTTACTTGTATATAATCTGTAGTAAAATACACAAACAGATAAAATTGTTTGTAATTTTATTTAGATGTTACTTGTATATAATCTGTAGTAAGATACACAAACAGATAAAATTGTTTAACAGGAGGGATATTTTAAAAAAGATTTCTTTATTTATGCATACAATAACTGGAGTATGGGCCAAAAGGGTGGGGGTGAGAGGATTCACCAGAGGCAGAGTGGGGAGCAGAACAGGCAGATCTACTGAAATATCCTGCTAAAGGGAGCAGCTGGCAAGTCAGGAGAGGTCTGCTGCGCCATGTGAGTCACCCGCTGGCCAGGAATGGAACTCACAGTGCAGTAGCTGTGGATAGAGTCACATGGCTGCACTTTAACTCATTGCACCACCAGGGGGGATTCTTACAGCTTAAATCTTTACTTTGTTTTATTTAGTTTAAGCTTTTGTTTTCTCTCTATATGAGCAAAGTCACATGGTATTTGTCTTTCTTCATATGCCTATTTCACTAAGCATAATAGTCCTCCTGTGTTGGTGCATATGGCAGGATTTGAACTTTCTAGCTGAATAGTATTCTATTGTGAATAATGCTTTATTCAATCATCAACCAATGGACACTGAGGTTATCTTCAGTTCTTGGCTGTTATAAATAATGCTACAGTAAACATAGGCAGCTTTTCTATGACAAATCTCATTTAACTCCCATGTTCTTTTGAAATAGAGGTAACTGTGCCCTGTTTAAAGATAACAGAGGCCCAGAGAAGTTAATTTTTTTATGAAACTTTCTTTGTTTATATTTATCATTTTTAGTTGCTTGATTACCAATCTTTCAATCTTTTATAGAAAGTAGCATTTTTAAGTTTACAGTATTCTTAAACTGTAAAAAAACTTGCCTATTCCAACCAATTTTTGTCTTAGCATATATAAACTCTACTATCTCAGTGATTCTGAGATTTTAAGATGAGTAGTCACATTCTACAGTACATTCCTACTATCCTGAGCAAAGTAGAATCTATTTCCTGTTGCCTGCCAACAGAAAAAATAGTTGAGGGTTTGGGAAATAGAGATACTTCTACGATATATGTATGGCATCATGACTTTTTTTTTTTACCTTTTTTTTTATTACAAACCAGAGAAGTTAATTTTAACCAAACTCACAAACTTAGTTAAAAGTAGTAGAAATGAGAAAGATGTGGTACATATATACAATGGAATATTACTCAGCAACCAAAAAAGAGAAACACATGTCTTTTGCAGCAACTTGGATGGAGCTGGAAAAGATCATGCTTAGTGAGATAAGCCAGAAAGAGAAAGAAAAATACCGGATGGTTTCACTCATAGCAGGAGTATAATGGACCAGGCGAGAAAATAACAAAAATAATGAACAACCATATACCAGAGACATTCTGTGGGGGTGGAGTGGGGAATGGGATCAAATAGGGGGGGGGGGGAAGGGAGGGAAATGCACGGGACTATGGTGGTGGCACAGGGGTGACTTGGTGATGGGAAACCCGCGGGGATTACAATCGAGATGGAAAAAAAAAAAGTGCAAAATGATGTAAAAATAAACTTTGTAATAAATAAAATAAAATAATAATTTAAAAAATGCAAAAAAAAAAAGTAGTAGAAATGAGACTCAGGAAATGGTAAACTGTATGTGTGGAAGGAAGGAGTCTGACTCAGTGCCACATGCTTAAAATAGCCCTGTGACCAGTGAGGAAGGGTAGCTCTCCAGAAATGAAGGGATTGTTGGTTTCTCCTGTTCTGTTTTCTCCAGAAAGGGGCTGAAAGGAAGACACCACCACAGGGGAAGGTCAGCACATATTGTGGGTGAAAAGTGGACAACCAACTTCTAAAAGCCCTGGAAGACATGAGTCAAGGCCAGATATAACAGGGAAGGCAGAAACATGCAAAACAAGCAGTATCCAGTGTGGGTTTGCTGTCAGCTTCTGGGAAGTGCCCCATGAAAGTGGGAATCTGAGCAGCCAAATCGTCATCTAACAAACCCCACATACAATGTCTCAAGTCTTTATGAGGAGACATTCACATACTTAGTTTCTTCAGTTATATACACAAACAAATGGTTACGAGTCCATTATCCAAAGCATGATCTGAGGGCTTCCCTGGTGGCACAAGGGGTTAAGTCTCAGCACTATGAAGCTATAATCAGCCACTACAGCACAAGTTCAACACCCAGGTCAGGGAGGTGACCCACCTGTTGCAGCAGGCCTTTCCTGTCTTAACTGATTGCTCCCTTCAGCAGTGTATTTCAGTCAGTCAGCCTGTTCTGCTTCCCACTCTGTCTCTGATGAATCCTCTCACCTCCCTGCACTTCTGGCCTATACCCAAGCTCTTGTATGCATAAATAAATAAAATAAATCTTAAAAGAAAACAAAGCATTATCTGATAATAGTAGATTTTGCACATCCTTCCTGGTGTTGGTTACTCCACCTTTTTTTTTTATTTGTAAAGATTTATTTATTTATGCTTATAGAACTGGCGTACAGGCCAGAGGTGTGGTGGGTGAGAGGATTCACCAGAGACAGATTGGGGAGCAAAACAGGCAGAGGTACTGAAATGCACTGCTGAGGGGAGCAGCGGGCGGGCCAACAGAGGTCTTCCACGCCATGTGGGTCAGCTCCCTGGCTGGGGATTGAGCTCATGCAGCAGTGGCTTTGGAGAGCCTCATAATGCAGTGTTTTAACCTGTTGAGCCACCAGGAAGAGCCCCCGGTTCTTCCACTTTTAAGGAGAAAAATAGTGCATAGAATTTTATATGGAATTTGAAGCACAGTTGGATGGTAGAATAGCTTTTTTGGTAGTGATATGGCAACAGAGAAAACAACAACTTTTGGGCATATTTGGCCATCTATTTTTTATGATTTACAGCAAAAAATTAATATTTAATGTTTTCAAGCTCCAGCCTTTATGTTTCTTTCAGATGCTAAAAATATAAAACCCATTATAACTTTTAGATTGATTGATGTATTTTCAGAGGTAGGAACTTCATATGGAGTCACATAGATGAAGTTCTGAATTGAAAAAAAAATTCCATTAGAAATTAGATTGTGGGCCCTCCCTGGTGGCGCAGCGGGTTAAAACACAGCACTGAGAAGCTAAAGCCACTTCCGCATGAGTTCGATTGCCGCCTGCCCCGGAGGTGACCACATGGCATGGCAGACCTCTCCTGACCCGCCCGCTGCTCCCCTCAGCAGTGTACTTCGTCGATCTGCCTGTTCTGCTCCCCACTCTGTCTCTGGTGAAGCCTCTCGCCACCCCTGAGCCTCTGGCCTGTACCCCAGTTCTGTATGCACAAATAAATAATCTTTTAAAAAAAAAATGAAAAGAAATTAGATTTTAAGAAGAGTAAGAAGAGTAAGAAGAATTCAGGTTACAGAGATATTTTGGGTTAGCATAAATAATATTTATTTGCTATTTAACAAATAAGAGTCTGGTGCCTGCCCCCAAAATAGACAGCATCTTTCCATTGCCTGAAGTGGTGTCCTGATGTTTTGTTGGATAAAAGTATGAACAAATGGAACTCATTGACCTAGGTTTATTTCTCTCCACTGACTAAAGCAGCCTTAACATTACTGCCTTTTGTTTTCCTTAAACAAGGGTGTTAGTTATATGATCTCTAAGCATCATTCAAGACCTGAAGTTTTATGATCCTTTGTTTTGTCAAGTCACACATTCCTGACATAAGACATTGTGGATAAGACTTCAGAATTCTGTACTTCCTGATCTTTCTTGCTCTGAGCCCAACTCAAAACCAAGTCTACTGACTTTCACAGCCCTTTCTGCTTCTCACGCTCCTCCTCTCAATCTGCCTTTCATGCTCAAGAATATTGAAAATTTAATTCAATGTTGTCCATTGTACTCAAGCAGATACCAAATTTTTATATTTTTGTGCAGAAGCAGAAGGGTACACAAATATTAAAATGCAAAAAATTCTCCTGTTGGAGAAATAATCCCTTGAAAATATAAATATTCTTGGGGGAAGTATCACCTTAAACTAATTCACATTAATGTGTTACTAAATAATTGGAGCATTTCTGTACTATAGACTTCAGTAAATATGTACCCTCAAAATTCAGGAGCGAGGGTTGAGATTTCTCCCTCAAGGTCATGTGGCCAGATTTCATCTTTTCTTCCTATCATTTTGCAGCCTGTGAAAGTCTGCTGGGAAGAGGATTTCTAAAATGTGTCTGGAAAGCTCCAAAGTAAATATGTGCAAAGTAAATATTACAAAAAATACATTTTTTGCTGCCTGAAAGTAGGGTATCTTGAGCCAGAGGGTCAAAATTGTTGGTGTTTATGCTAAAGATCAACTTAAATTTTACTGGAGCCTCCCTGATGGCTCAAGGGGTTAAATCTCAGCCCTACGACACTGTGGGCAGATATTGCAGTGCAAGTCTGATCCCGAAGCAGGGGGGTGATCCACATGGTGCAGCAAACCTCTCCCACTGAGTCCCTCAGCAGTGTTATTTCAGTCAGTTGGCCTGTTCTGCTCTCCAGTCTGTCTCTGGTGAATCCTCTCTCATCCCCACTTTTCTGGCCTACACCCCAGGTCTTGTATGCATAAAAACCCAAAAACTAAATTTTATTTAGGCAAGAGATGTGCTTATGTATTAAAAAAAAGACTAACACAGTAACTTCTGGTGGCAAAAGGAAACAAGGATGGTTGCTACCAAATACTTTAGCAAGCTTCTTGCAAAAGCCATTGCACACAGAATCTTTGTGACTGTTGTAGCCTTCAATAAACTTCTCTTGGGGGGAAAAATTGTATATAAAGAAAAGATGAGGATCAAGGAAGATAAAATTTACTAATGTTATTGTTTTATATAATGCAGCCTTGCAAAGGTTTTTTACTTTTTTTTTTTTTTAAAGAACAATATAAAATCACTCTGGAAGATGCTAGAAAGAGAATAATCAAAGAAACTTTGTTGCAACTGGACCAAAGGAAGGAATGGGCTACACAGGTATATTTGAAGTTTCTTTCTTTAAAGATCAATGAATGCATATTCCCCCTCCCTATTTTTTTCTTGTGATATTTAAATTAAGAACTTGGCCTCTAAACAGAAGCACTTTAAGTTTAAATAGTAGTCCTACAACTTATTAAGTATATAAACTGAATGTGTTACTTTGCTTTTCTAGGACTTGAGTTCCTAATCTATAAAGTAGAAACAATAGTAATATTTACTTTGGAGACTGGTATGAGGATTGAATTAGGTGATTTGAGTGTTTTATTACCTCACAAGGAACAAGAGCTCAGTACATTATCATTCAGTTATTTTTAAGTACAATGATGGCAACAAAAAAACAACTATTAAATAAAAAATTGGAGCCTAAAAAGTACTTTAGTGTCCAGATCATTGCTGGAGTATTAAAAAATTGGGATATAAAGTATTTGAGATATAATTTACAGCTTTATGTGTTTTCTAATCTCTTTGTTTTGCACAAAATATCTTACCCTTCTTTTCACTGCCCTTCCCTTGCCCCCAGACTCTCCTAAATCTCCCCTGGATTGTCTCTTCTGGAATAGCCCTCCTTCAAAATAAAAAACATCTGATCTTGCTAAAATGTTGAGTTTCAGTTGCTGTTGTTTGTTGCTTCCCCATGGCTCAACTGTTTTTTCAATGTTCCTTCCTACTGCATGATTTTTATGGATTTGCACAAATAGAGTAGATTGTGAAAAACTGACCACTGATTCATGTGCCCGTTAATTTGTCCACTATGTGGCTGAAGATGAATAAATGATGAAATCAACATCTGACCATAGTTTATAATGGTTAAAAAACAGAGATCAATATGCCACAAGTGTATGTGTGTGTGTGTTCTAAACAGACCATGTATGTGTGTGTGTATATATATGTATATATGTATATATACATATATATACACACACACATACATGGTCTGTTTAGAACACACACACACATACACTTGTGGCATATTGATCTCTGTTTTTTAACCATT